GACGAATCGGCGTCTTTGCCCCTCTTCGCAACTCCCTCCTCTCCTGCGGAAGCTAGCAGGTCATCGGAGTCGACTGGTCCCTTGCTCACCGCCATTCATAGCTCTCCCAGTTTGTTGAGGTCTCACTCTTCAGATGCTTCTGTTACTAGCGAGTTGGATGCGGAACAGTTTGACTGTGGGCATCTCAACCCCCTGCCTTCACCACGTCGCTATCCGACACGGAACCGCATGCCTCATTCCCGTCTCGACGTTTATGAGGTAGAGTTCCTCGGCCCTTCTTCTCATCAGGTTCGGTTTCCTCTTTCCCACTATGTGAATTATCATCATTTCTCAGCTAACTACTATGCTTTCTTGGCTTCTATGTCCTCCTTTGTCGAGCCTCGCCACTTGTCAGACGCTTTAAAGTATGAGTGCTGGCATAGTATCAGAGTATCAGAGTCTTCTGTGACCGAGATGTTTTGGGTTCGAATCCCCACGCCCACCCTCATTTGTTAAGCACATGGTATTCGGACTTGTGCAAACTTCAAGCCACTGCGAGTGACTTTCGTTTGAGGAGGCGTGTTAGTATGTGGAATGTAACCCAAATTTGAACCTCGTCCAACAACTCGAATTATCGAGAGATCAAGTGGTTCTTTACACAATCCTATAAAAATATATAGAGAATCTTTCACGGGGAAAATTTTCTAATATATGATTATACAGAAGAAAGAAGAAAAAAAAAGGATATTGATCATTTTAATTTTAGCCATTCCTAAATTTTTTACACTTCATCCTATTTATGACCATAAATAATGAGGTACCAGTTTGAAAAACTTCTCAACCCTTTCTGGAACGTAACTGTATGACATTTATAAGTGATTGACAATAGCTTGCTTCCACATCCATGTGGGTAGGTGCCTCCCTTACCTTGAAGTCGCTGCCATGGTTGGATAGAGGCTAGCTGCTTGTCTTGGCATCTTCTCCTCGTGACTTTGTGGAACTTGGACGCAACTAGCTAGTTGACAAGGGGCAATCTCGTCTTTCGATTTTCTTCTTAGAACGTTTTTTATTACAGATTTTTTGGGCATTAGTTTACCGTGGGCGGTAGGTAGGTACGGGGATTGTTGACCTGATCTATGATGGAGATGAGATGATGGACGTGGCTCAGCTCCAGCTGCATGCGTACGTCTACATTTATTGATGAACAATCATACAAAATATCAGTAGGTAGGTGTGCATTGAATAGATTCTTTTTTCCCTTACAATTAAACCCAGGTGATGATGAAATGGATCACATGTTGATTGATGGATGACTCGTACTTGCTCCATTAATTTGGAATGCATCTGTCTGTCCGGCTGTCCTGGTAGCTTGTGTGGATACTAATTAAGACTGTTGGCCTTGATTAAAATCCTGCATGGCAGATTACTATATATTCTGAAAAATGAATTTTCGATATATGCTTAATATACAATTGTGAATTTGACAAGACTTTTTTAGCCATGCATGCTTTCACGTTTTGGAATTTGATTGTTGTGATGGCATCGCCATCTCGATGGCCAAGCAACGTAACTAGCAAAGAGTCAGCGATGTTGGTATGCAATTGTCTTGTTAGTTGTTTGAATATAATTATACATTTGGTTCACATTTTATGGCGGGATCATGTTATTGCATTGATATATTTAATAATGAAATGCTAAATAAAGTGATTTGAAAAAGAGTTATTTACCAAACGACCCCTTAGTTATTTACTTATTTGATTATGGGGACGAAGAAGGGGAATTAGTTTTTTTTTTTTTCTTCGTTGAATCAGTTACCCCTTTATATTAAGTAACGAATTGCCAAAGCAGCAATCCAAGATACAACGAAAAGCAGGGACACCCAAGCAGCATCCCCACGCAAAAGAAAAGAAACAAAGAACTCTGCTAGCAACTAAAAAAAACCAGCAGCCCCAATACATCACTAACCCCCAACTACTGCAGACCTAATATGTGTAAATCCCTCAACATTAACTCCCTAATTACATAACTTCTCGCGGAGCTTCATCATGGTATCTCCTGCAGCGTTCTTGCCAAATATAAGTGACAAAGAGACACCATTTAACATTAATCCCTCGCTGTGGATCACGCTGCACTGCTGCACAGAGAGCCTGCACAGTCTCCACCCAAGAGCCTCGGGCCAAACCATCCTGCAAAAACCCCTGCATCAACAGCCGAGTATAATCACAAGCAACAAATAGGTGATCTCTTGTTTCGCTTGCCATGCCACAAAGGACACACTTGTCCTCATTCACCTTCCCCCAACGCAGCAGCTTACTCTTCGTTGTAATACCATCAAGCAAAACCAACCAGGCAATGAAACTAAAGCGAGGCACATGATTTGGCCCCCAGACTACCTTATACCACTCTACAACGCTGCTTTTTGGACGTAGAGTATCCCAGACCCGCTTTACCAAGTATTTTTCCATAGGTTTCCCATCCCACCAGGCACAATCTCCTTGCCTGTTAAGAAAAGGCTGCACCTGTGAGCGTTTCTTCAAAATCCTCCGCCAAGCCCAGGAGCTATTAGAGTTCTCCTTCATGGTCCAGATATCTCCAGTCTTGCAGCGATAACGTAGTGTCCAAGCAACCCAAATAGCACCTGATTTCATCATCAATAACCACAACAAACGTAAAGAACAAGCAGTATTCCAGGAACTAAATTCCCGGATCCCCAATCCACCTTCCTTCTTAGGCCTGGCCACCCTTTCCCAAGCAATTTTCGCTCTTCCTGTCTCACTGCCATGCCATAAAAAGTCCATACAAATCTTCTGAACCCTCTTCAAGATCTTTTTAGGCAATATGAATACCTGCAACCAGTATTGAAGTAGACCTGTCACCACCGAAGTGATCAATTGCAATCTACCAGCAAATGTAAGTGTTTTTGCCCTCCACGACCTAACTTTCTTGGTGATTGCTGCTGCCAATGCCTCAAAATCCCTATCCGTCAACTTCCCTGAGATGAGGGGCAATCCCAGGTACCTTACAGGTAGACAACCCTCAGTAAACCCCTATAAGTCCAGGGCATTTTGCTTATATCGAACTGATTCCCCTCCAAAGAAAACTGAGCACTTTGCAGGATTACACTTTAAACCCGATTGCCAATAGAACTGTTCCAGCACCTGCTTCACTGCCAATATAGCTCTAGCTGAGCCCACTGTAAAGATCAACAAATCGTCTGCAAAACAAAGATGGTTCAAGGAAATTTTGCTGCACAATGGATGGAAAGGGATCAGACCCTGCTCTGAGGCTTTAACTAAAATTAACTAAATTAAAAATAGGACTCTATGGTAACTTGACGTAATTAATATTAAATTAATATATTTGAGTAAACCTTGTATGGACTATTAAGATCAGTATTATTAAAGTTGGACCGTTCATTTTGATCGGCAGAACCGGTAATCGGACCCTAGTCCGGTCCGGGTGACATTTGTGGCCGCTCATTGAGAGATAGTTGGCCGGTAATCAGTGTGAGGAATTAATCAAATGAACAGTTCAAAATAGGATGGCAACTGGTCGAGTCGGGCGGATAGTGCATATTCGTTATCCTATTTAAAGCATTTCGGGTTTTAACCATACTCATACCCATATAAGAAACGGGTAAAAAATCAAAACCATACTCATATCCGTTCAGGTTTCGGGTATCCACGGTTATCCATTGATAATAATTTCTCTATATAACTCCAACCAATATGTTAACATTCACACGCATATTCACATTAAATGAGAGGAAAAGTACGACAATAAATCACTATTATGAAGAAAAGCAATTAAAACAACACAATTTCATGAAAATATTATAATTGTATGTTAAATATAAAATATATTAGAGAAAAATAATGATTACTTCTTGAAAAAATACATCTACATGTGTATAATAGGGCAGGTTCGGTTTGAATAGTGAGAAAACCATGCTCACCCCTATTACCCGGAATATTCGGGTTCAGGTTTTACCCGTACCCACTTAAAGTCTTTCGGTTTGGAGTTTTATCCTACCCAATTAGGTCGGATTCGGACGAATATCCACAATTACGAATATTTTTGTAGTTCAAAATGCTCAGTCGGTTTTGAACAGTTAGAGCTCCTTCCCAATGATTGTTGTACTTAGAAATTGTTACTATGCAGATTTGAACATATCTTCTTTAAATAAATGATTTTCTTACCAATTATACTACAAGTTTGTTATTGTCTATTGAAAATATTATGAACTTTTTAAAATATAAAGTAATTAACTCTATACTAATTATCTAAACTAACTCGCATTTTGAAATACCCGGTAACAATTTTTTTGCTTGCATTTTAAACAAAATATTTAATTCCTTTTAATTTTTTTAATCGAATTAATATGTTTATTATACCATTCTAGTATGAATAACTCATGGCCTGGGTTATAAGGTAGCGGTTTGGAGCTTCTGACTTTAACCCTCTGTTTAGGAAGGAGGGAAAAGGAAGGAAAGGAAAGGAAAGGGAAGGAAACACAATAATCGAGGACTTTCCTCCGTTTTTTAAGGCTGTATACAGTACCGGTGGAAAGGAAAAAGGAAGGAAAAAATCTTGTTCCACCCACCCCTCTGATTTCAATAGCGTTAATCTGCTAACCCTTTAAGTGGTTAGCAGATACTAACAGGGTCGGATGAAGGGCCACGTCGCCGAGCCACCATCGGAGGGTGAGGATCGCCGGCGCTGTTCTGTGAGGGGGGAGGGATTTTTGGGCCAAGCCGAGCCACATTTTGGAAAAGTGGGCCAGAAATAAAGAAAAAAAAAACTAAAACCCAAAATTTCAAACCCGCCCAAAACCCAACCTCAACCCGCGGTCAGCCATTCTCCCCTCTCTCTCCAACTTTCGAACCCTCTCCCTCTCTTCTTCTTTTCTCCCGAAAACCACCACCAACAGCGACGATCTTCGACGGCGACGACGGCTGCGAGGTCGGCGACTTGTTGCTGGATATACCGCCAACGTGGCCCTTGAAGCTATCCCGACCGACGAGGAAGAAGACGCCGCCGACGGAGAAGAAAGAAGAAGACGTCGCCGACTTTGCCGACGAAGAACTCCGCCGCCGTCGCCGCCGATAGTTGGAGGTAGAAGAAGACGCTGAGGTAGTTCTACTTCTCTCTTTATTGTTCATTTTGTTTGTGGATTTGAAAATTTATGTTAGGGTTTCGGTTCATGGATTTTTTGTGTGGAAATCTGGGTTTTGTATATGGATTTGAAAATTTATGGTTCATGCAATTCGATTTAGGGTGTTTAGGGTTTTGATTCTAGATTTCCAGATATTGTGTCCATGGGATTCGAATTTGGGGTTTAGGGTTTCGTTTTGGGGGTTTAGGGTTTCGTTTTGGGGTTTCATGGATTCGAATATGGGTGTTTAGGGTTTTGTTTGTTGATTACCAGATTCTGGGTCTGTGGGATTCGAATTTTGGGGCTCTAGTTTTTTTTTCTAGTTACCAGATTTATTGTTTCTCGAATTCCATTTTGGGTGTTTGTTGGATACGATTTTGGGGAATCTAGGTATTGTTTGTTGATTCCTTGATTAAATGTTACATGGTTATTAGTTTGTTGAATCTGGGTATCATTTGTCGATTCCTTGGTTAAAGATTATATGGATATCAGTTTTGTCAATTGTGATACTTATTCTGGTCATTTTATATATTGTTTCATTATGGTTTCTCGAATTCCATTTTGGGGGTTTGTTGGATACGACTTTGTTCAATCTGGGTATCATTTGTCGATTCCTTGGTTAAAGATTTTATGGATATCATTTTTGTCAATTGTGATACTTATTGTGATCATTTTGTTTATTGTTTCAGTGAATGGGGAGACCGAAAAAGAACTCAAAGCCCAACAATGAGGGAGAAGGATCATCAAAGCAGCCACCTGATGTACAACAACAAGAGGTTTCATTTCTTACTCCGTTTCTCGATTGGTTATGTTGGCTAGAAATTACTAGTCAGATGCATTTTAATATTTTCATTGACCGATAGTTTTCTTAATATCTAACTATTTTTCAGGAACAACCCGTGAGGAAGAAACCCAAAACTGTTGCACCAAAATCTTCAGCGAAATCTCGTGAAGCAGCTGGATCATCACAGCAGCCGCCGGATGAACCACCACCAAAGGTTTGATTTCTCACTTCGTTTCTCGATTAGTTATATTGGCTAAAAAAAATAAACTGATGTGTCTGATGTGTGGATATCAGTTCTGTTAATGTGGATACTTAACTGTTCGTTTTAGTTATTTTTCTGGGTATTATGGATATTTTTTCATGGATATCAGTTATCTCCGTTTGGATACACTTTTGCTTTACTACGATAATAATTGTATGTATTTGCAAAAAAAAATAATCTAATGTGTCTGATGTGTGGATATCAGTTCTGTTAAGTTGGATACTTAACTGTTCGTTTTAGTTTTTTTTTCCTGGGTATTATGGATATTTTTTTCATGCATATCAGTTATCTCCGTTTGGATACACTTTTGCTTTACTACGATAATAATTGTATGTATTTTCAAAAAAAATAATGTAATGTGTCTGATGTGTGGATATCAGTTCTGTTAAGTTGTATACTTAACTGTTCGTTTTAGTTTTTTTTCTGGGTATTATGGATATTTTTTTCATGGATATCAGTTATCTCCGTTTGGATACAGTTTTGCTTTACTACGATAATTGTATTGTATATAAGTGTGCGTTTTAGTTATTTGTCCAAGGATTATGGATATTTTGCTTAATATATAACTGTGTTTCAGGAACAACCCGGGATGAAGAGAACGAAAATGGTTGCATCGAGATCTCGTGAAGGAGAAAAATCAAGGCAGCCGCCGCCTGCTATTCCAGAAGTTGAGGATGAAGATGAGGAAGAAGATGATGAGGGAGAGGGTCCATGCGGCTCATATTTCAGATTTCGTGGGTCCACCTATTCCCTCTTCAAAATTATTAACTACTGGAAAGAAGATGCTGAATACTATGCAGCCTGCAAGAAAGAAGTCGAGAAGGCAGGATTCGGGGGCCTATTGGAGCTTCGCATGCCGAAGATACCCAATATCTTCATGGACGACTTGATGGCTGCTTATGACTCCTCATCCAGTACTTTTGTTTTTGGGGAAGGAGACTCGAAGAAGGTCTTCAACTTCACAGCCGAGGATGTGGCACGTGTCTACGACCTTCCTCTCGGTTGGGCTGTGATTGATTTGAAGAACGTTGAGGGGGGGATGCTTGATAGTTTCAGCGAGGAAGTTGGCATGATTTCGAACAGGGCTCGCATGGTTTCTATCAAGCAGATGCGGGAGTTGGCCATTCCAGTCAACGGTCCTAGACCACCTGTTGCAATTGCTGTGAAGCAATTCTTGCTGCTAGCTACTGGTTCGATGCTCGTGCCAACATTTTCTCGGAGGTGCAAGCTGGACTTTGCCCCATACTTAGGTGGGAGTGTTGAGGACGTGAGGGTGTACGATTGGTGCACATTTATTGTCCGTGAACTGAAAGTAGAGTTGACTGCTGCCAAGAAAAAAGAACCTAGTGCAAGGTTGCGCTCGCCGTGCGTGTGGGTTCTCGGAGATTGCTACTTCTTGACAGTAAGTCCATACCTTTTCTATACTTGTTGGTTCAATTGCATGAAAACTAGTGAATTTCGTATTTGGGTATGATCTGCTGGATATTTGTTTAGTCACATAAGATACTGTTTGCATGAAAACTAGCTTAAAATGATTTCTGGATATCAGTTTAGTCACATAAGATTCTGTTTGTGTTGACTCTGGATATTTGTTAATTAAATTGCTAGAAATGGAACTTAACATTTATTAATTGTAATTTTTTGTACAGCTCCATCTGTTGGACTCTCTAAAACTAGGCGGGTTGCACACAAAGAGCATCCCTAGCTGCTGGTTTTGGTGGAAGCAAAGTGTCGAGTGGGCAGCCACATCTATCCCCGTAGTCAGGGGAAGATATGACCTAGCTGCCGCTCTGCTGAGTGGGGAAGAAATCGCCTCTCGCAGGCAGCTCGAGCCGGCAGCTAGTGCAGCAGCTGCGAGCAGTTCAGCTCCTCCTCCAGATCGTGCACCGTTGCCCACCGCGGAATGGTGGGAGACTGAAGATTTGACTAGCCTTTCGCTGGGCAGGTAAAATGTTTTCTTCCTCCCTAACTAAGATCGTGCATTGGTAGACTTGAAGGAAATCACTGAGAGCATGATTGAAAAGTGGGTGGCTCGAAGGGACAAGGTCCAAACGATTGTCCAGAATTTGGAACAGCAAGAGTGAATATGATGCCATGTTGTACTGTTTTCCGTTGTTTGGTGGGGGGTTGTACTGTTTTCCACGAATTTGATGCCATGTTGGAATGGCTTAGGATATTAGTCGGATTTTAGTTTGTTGTTCTGGAATATTTGTTGGTTTCATTTGGATATCAGCTTGTGATGTTTGAATAATGGTTTGTGATGTTTGAATAATGTTTGAATATTTGTTGTTCTTTTCAGTTATTAATAATGGTTTGTGATGTTTGGATATTAATTTGATGCATTTGGATATTTCTGTGGAATCAATAAATGATTTGTTTGGATATCAATTCTGCCAAGTTGAATATTTGTATTCTCTATTGTGATAATAGTCTGGGTACATGGGATAATTGTACGAGCAGTTTGGATATAGTTTTTAATTCCCGCAAAATGTTCGTTTGTCTTCCAGCTCAAGGTACTAGGTGCTGGGATTGACCGGCATATGGGAAAATTGCTGGACTTTGCAACAAAACTGGGACATATGATAGAAAAGAAGGAAGACCGAGTGGATTCCAGGAGGAGACCTTTGGAGAATACTGTTGAAGAGGTGCTAGAGCAGCTTAAAACAGATGTGGTGGAAGACCGAGTGGAGAACACTGAAGCTAAAATGGAAATGGATGAGCAGCCTCTAGAGAAGGACCAGGTCGAGCCACAAGTGGAGACAACTGGAGAGAAATGTGAAGAAGATCCTCAAGAGAAGAATCGATTTGAGGTGGTGGAGAATGAAGCTGAGAAGACTGTAGAGACACCGGACGAGGAGTTGGTTGAGCCGACAGTCCCTATGGTGATACACTATACATTCCCAGATACCTCTTTTGAGGACATTTTGCAGATAGCTCATGAGGCTACTAGCGCTGCTAATGCCGAGGAAGTTGACCCACCTACATATGTGGTGGAGTCGTTTTCTCAACTTGCAGAGATGGGAATGTTGCCTACAGACGAGGAGTTGGTAGAAGCGGATTGTAGGAGCGCTGAGAGGAGTCCAGATGTGATTATCACCGATGAGAGGAATATGAGTGATGAGGAGAGAGACCGTCTGTACAGCTACACACCTGAGGAATGGCTTGCAACACTAAAGACCCCAGAGTTCGAGAGGTCGAAGAAGAACCCATATGCTTCCTCATCAGTATATTATTTGTCGAAGTATGTGTCGCCAAAGCTCGACCTAGTTGCTCGTCTTATGGTTGAGTTCGTCTTCAGTACCCCTGAGGGTAAGGGCTTGGTGGTGCACACTCCTTCAATTAAACTCGCCCGTCTTCATCTGTTGACATTGAAGCGATTAGAGTGGGTCAATCTACAAGTGATTGAGGCTTATGGTCATTTCTTGAACGACAAAGCACTTGCCGGTGACAAGAACAGAGTTATCTTTCCGTTCACTTTTGGTGTAAGTAGGCTCTTCACTGACACCTTACAATTTTTAGATATTCAGTAACTAATTAGCTATTATTTTACTTTGCAAACAGAATCTTGCCTTACTTAATAGTCAGACGAATGTGCCCCCGTCCAAGGAGAGACTCAATGGGGTCGTTGAAATGACCCAGCGGTCTCAAGTCTTCAAACAAGTTGCATGGGACAAAGTAGAATATGTAAGTGAATCCTTATTCTATCTCGATACTGATTTACGTGGTTGTGGATACTAGTCTGGGTTTATTGGATATTTATCCGAGACAATAAATGATTTGTTTGAAGATTTGCCTGAGAATATATGAAATGTTAGTTTTGGATACTAGTCTGGGTTTATTGGATATTTGTCCGAGAGAATAAATGATTTGTTTGAAGATTTGCCTGAGAATATATGAAATGTTAGTTTTGGATACTAGTCTGGGTTTATTGGATATTTGTTCGAGAGAATAAATCATTTGTTTGAAGATTTGCCTGAGAATACATGAAATGTTAGTTTTGGATACTAGTCTGGGTTTATTGGATATTTATCCGAGAGAATAACTTATTTTTTTCTATGTTTCAGCTTTTTTCCCCTGTGCATAACGACAAACACTATCGGGTCTACGCTGCTGATCTAAGGAGTCAGAAGACTTTCCTTATGGACAGCCAGAAACCCAAGCCAGCAGTGGCCAAGGTGGATCACTCTCCCATGGGGAAATTGATATTTGAGTATGGGGCTGCTTTCCTTGCAAAGTACAACCTCGATTTTCCCTTGCATGATTGGGACTTCTTAATTGCGGATGTTCCTCAACAAGATGGAAACCATGACTGTGGAGTGTTCGCGTGAATGTTCTTGGAGCACTGGGCGGGTCACATTCCATCGGAATACAAGGAAACTTGGCACTTGGACAAGCACGTGGAGCACCAGCGAGCATCTATTGCAGCCAGTCTCCTTCAATGGAAATACAACAAAGTAAGGAATGTCGTACTTGAGCATGCAAAGGAGTGGGCAACATATAATGAGAAAGGGAAGATTAAATGAAGCTTACCTCCTTATGTTTCATGGGACATATGTTGATGTTTAGGTATTAAGGAGATTGAGTTATTTTGGGAAGTTTTGGAGAAAAGGAGACACTAACTTTATCCTGATCACTCGCTTTATTAGTATAAGTTGGAGTGTGTTATTTTGGTAACATTTGTACAAAAGTAGACACTAACTATGTTGATTAAATTGCTCGCTTTATTAGTTTATCAAAGATAGATTAAGAATATCTTTCCTTCAACAAAAGTATATCATATGACCCAAAGTGATATCCAAAACACCCAAACTAAAATCTGAGCATATTTGATGGAAATACATAAAATCCACACAACCAAATACATAAAATATAACAAAAATATCCGAATGTTTAGAGATAATATTTGTAGAACCAAAAGACATATCCCTACATTGCATACTAATATCCACACCCAAATTCAGCAAGGTAGATAAATATCGTAGCTTGCTTAAAAAATATCTGAGTTTGACAGACTAATATCCACCCCCAAATTCAACAAGGTCGTCTTCCAAGTCAGTGAGATGGTCAT